AGATTGGTGGGGTATAAATAATAAATTATTATTATTATTATTATTATTATTATTATTATTATCATTATCATCATCCACAACACAGGAGGCAGACCCCAGCTGGACACGATTCCAAGAATTATCAACAAGCTTTTTATCAACAGTGGAACGGACTCCCTAGAGGGGTAGTGCGCTCTCCTTCCTTGTAGGTCTTTAAACGGAGGTTGGATGGCCATCTGTCATGGATGCTTGAGTTGAGATTCCTGCATTGCAGGGGGTTGGACTAGATGACCCTCGGGGTCCCAACTCTACAATTCTGTATATAACTTTGGTCTTCCTCTAAACTGCAGCCAGCCTGGATTATAATCTCAGCCATTTTTTAAAAAAAGGCAATGCAGGAAAATCAAACAGAGAGGAAATTCTGAGCAACTGTAACCTCGTCAATGTCAAGAGCTGCCCCAAAATTCTCTTTTAAAGCCTTTCAAAGAGAGAGAGAGAGAAGAATGCCAGGCATATTTTGAAAGACATAAGAACTAACGTTCCTCCATGGAAAGAACCCTCTCAAGGGACTAGAGATGGTTACTCTTCAAAGATCTCTCCTCGCAATACAGCAGGAACTTTGAAGGGAATATTTAGTGGTTTTGGGCATCAAATACCCTTGTGCAACGCAGAGTGAAGCAAGGACATTTTTCCTGAAACCATCCTTTGGTGCAACTATTTCCCCCTCCTTTCCTCTGACAGTGTGGAAGATCAAGCAGAGGAGTAACAAAAAATCTGTTTTCTATAAAAACCTTAAAAAGAAAAATCCATTTTCCAAGATTAAAGTGGGTAAAGGAGACCAAGTTGTCTGGCTGGCAATTCATCCACGCAGCCGTGGAACAGCTCAACGCCCCCAAATTTCAGTAACCTGGAATAGCTTAGGTCACAACCTTGTATTTTCCTTTTAAATTGTTTTCATTGAAGATTTTGTCGGGTTACAAAAGTACATGCAGCGTCTCTGCTTTCAGTTCATAGAGACCTTTTTACAGATCAGTTATATTCAATGTGAGGCACTCATGCTATAGCCAGTATAAGTTTGTGGAAGAGGAGAGGTGGGGAGGAGGGGGGGACAGAGAAGGGGGGGTGCTAAACTTTTGTTCTTTTACATAGTGTATGTGGAAGGTTTTTGTGTCACTGTCACGAGAGTAGGTTCTATTTCTATTCATTTATATTTTATCGTATGTGGTGGTCTTGTAGTAAAGTTAAGGCTTACTGGGAAATGATATACAATGGAATGAAAAGCATGTTTAAAATAACATTTTTTAAAAAAAAAAACAGAAGCCTTTCTCTTGGGAATTATAGAGATAGAACTACCTAAATTGTATAGAAATTTATTCATGATGCGACTACAGCAGCAAGAATGTTACTTGCCCCAAAATGGAAAGAAGAAGTCCCAGCAAAGGAAGAATGGATACAAAAACTTATGGAATATGCAGAAATGGTGGAAGAATAAGAAATCAAGATAGCAAACTTTTTATAAAAGAATGGAAATGGTTTATTGAATATTTACAGATAAATTGTAAACGGATAAAAATACTGGCAGAGTTATTGTAATAACCTGCAGCTACATAAGAGTATATATAAATAAATAAATGAGTAAGTTAAGTTGGATATGCAGAAGATATTAAAAATAAATTTAAGGAACCGCAGAAAGAGGGGGAAGGAAGTCAAGTTTTAAAATGTCAAAGTGATTGTAAAATCAGTGAAATGTATATATCTGAAAAGTATAAATAATTTTATAAAAAATATGTTTCTATTCATTTGTAAGTTTTTGTTGGTGGCGAAAGAGGTTGGGGGGCCCAAGGCATGGTTGGCTGGCTTCAGTTGCCTGCTCTAAGTTGTCATTGTTGGCATCTGCCTGTCTCAGGAGACAGTGGAGGAGTGTGCCTTTGGGGGTGAAGTCGAACTGTTGGAAGGTTGCAGCGCCTGCTGTGGCTGTAGAGACTGAAACGGGAGAGACATGTTTTGCTGCATCTGGGGCAGATGAAGGCATCCGGTTGTGCTGCTGCAGATGCACCATGGCGTTTCTTCAGTCTGTGCTCCTCCCAGTGGTCATTCCTCCTGTGGTCACTATTGTCACCAGACACTGCAGTTGTCTGCAAGGGATTCCACACAGCAGGGACGATGTTGCCAGCCTTCATGTCACATTTCCAGACATCTTTGTAATATACTGTACAGTGGTACCTCGGGTTACAGACGCTTCAGGTTACAGACGCTTCAGGTTACAGACTCTGCTAACCCAGAAATAGTACCTCGGGTTAAGAACTTTGCTTCAGGATGAGAACAGAAATCATGCTGCAATGGCGCAGCAGCAGCAGGAGGCCCCATTAGCTAAAGTGGTGTCTCAGGTTAAGAACAGTTTCAGGTTAAGAACAGACCTCCGGAATGAATTAAGTTTTTAACCCGAGGTACAACTGTACATTGAGAGCAAATGACTTACCCCCGCAAGAATCCTGGGAATGGTAGTTTACCCTTCACAGAGCTACAGTTCTTGGCACTTTTTAATAAACTACACTTCCCAGGATTCTTTGGGGGAAGCCATGGACTTAAAATGTCTGGTGTGGAGGTGACTATATCTACTAATATTGATCCAAGGTTTGCCTTGTTTCCGCTAAGATAGTCCAAACTTCACTATCCACACTCAGGTAAGAAGCATCATCAAGACCATGGGTAGGCAAACTAAGGCCTGGGGATTTGCCTTCTAAATCTGGCCCGCGAATGGTCCAGGAATCAGCATGTTTTTACATGAGTAGAATGTGTCCTTTTATTTAAAATGCATCTCTGAGTTATTTGTGGGGCATAGGAATTTGTTCTTTTTTCTTCTTTTCAAAATATAGTGCGGCCCCCCACAAGGTCTGAGGGACAGTGGACCGGCCCCTTGCTGAAAAAGTTTGCTGACCCCTGATCAAGACTCTGAAAACTGGGTACCTTTTATCATATGTGGTGGATGTGTAAAGTAATTTTAAAAATTTGGGAAATGATATATAATGAAATGAAAAAAATGTTTAAAATAACTTTAGTTAAAAAAAACCAGAAGCTTTCTTATTAGGAATTATAGGTACCGAGATCACAAAGGACCAGAAAAGACTGTTCATGTATGCGACAACAGTCGCACAGATACTACTAGCCCAGAGATGGAAGAAAGAGACATCCCCGACCAGAGAAGAATGGCAAATCAAGATGATGGACAATGCCAAAATGGCAAAATTAACTCAGGAATCTAGAAGACAAGAACTTTTAAAAAGATTGGGGAAAGTTTATAATTTACTTACGAGACCACTGCAAGCAGATTAAAACATTAGCAGGATTTTAACCACACTTGTAAAGTAATGGAAAGTATGGATAATTTAGAAGGATAAAAGTTTGGATAAATATTGATATGCAGTTGTAAATATTAATATCAGGACCCATGAAAGGGATGGGGGAAAGTTAGGAAATTCAGAGCAATCTCCATATTTGGATTTGGAACTGTTGTTTGTAATATGTTTATACTTTTGAAAATCAAATAAAACAATTAGATAGATGGATAGATAGATAGAGACTCTGAAAACTGTTCTACCTAAAGGGCTGCCATACAGACCTGTCCAGAACCTGAGACGGCCACCTGAGAATTTTCTCAACCTGCCACCTCCAAAGGATCATGTTCGGCATATGAAAATAAAGTCAGGCACACACAAACACACTTCAAATTGGATGTAACCAACTTGAGCTTTGGTGTTGCTACAGTTTCTTCTCTTTTCAACAGTTCTACTTTGGGTTCTGCTGTTTTCAAATAACGTTTTCCTACAGCCTTTGTCTTTCGTAAGGATTTTAAAACATGGTAGCGACTTTCAATGTTTGCTAAGGCAGAACAGTAACAGATCAAGGTTTCCAAATACAACAAACTGGTGTAAAGAACCCAGATTCACATGCTGCAAAGCCATCCCAACGATCCTTTGTTTTGCATTTATTGATCACCACCATCACTTTGCTATTTACTAGGCTTGATTACATTGGTTTCTCATTTTCATCTCCATCAAAACTTTTATAATTCTTTATTGATTCATCTGTTTAATATGTAACGACTCCAGAGCTACATGTCATGAATTCTCTTTTACCTTTTTTGTTGCTACTCTTTTTATTGCAACAACGGAGTTGAGAGGGACCTCAAAGGCCACCTGCCCTGTTGCTGCTGAAAAATGCTAAGCCCTGTATTGATAAGAGTTTTGTCCTGTATTCCAGGTCTTCTCTGTTTCTTTCTCTCTCCCCCCCGCCCCCAAGTTAGGGATCATCTCCAAATGCATGTGTTTGAAAGGATGCGTGAAAAGGATGGGTCAGGGTAGCCAAGCACAGAAAGATTTACAAATTCACGTGTATGTGTGTGCACACGTGCACGTGTGACAAATTCCAGAGGGGCCATCCTGTTAGGCTGCAATAGATGGTAATGGATTGCTTTGTCTGAAGTCACTTCAGATGGGCGATGGAATGCCCCCCAACCGCTCCACCCCACCCTGTCCTGTATTTTGCCAGAACAAAGGAGATCCTATCGGAAAAGTCAGTGAAAGGAAAGCCTCACCCCCTTGGGAATCATCTCAATGAGCGGAGAGTTCCCAATGTAAAAGGGAAAGGCGCATCACATAAAAGAAGGGGGGCGGAGGGCTGCAGTTCCTAACTATACTTACCTGGGAGTGAGGCCCATTAAGTCCAACAATAGGCCTTCCTTCGGATGGCACGCGGCTCTGAAGGCGCATCTTTCCGGCGGGAAATACAAACCAGCCAGCCAGCCAGCCAGCCAAGTCCCCTCCCCGTCCAACCCTCCTGCTCCGGAGTGGCCGTTCCATGAATCCGGCGCGGCGCCCGTTCCCTTTCCCACCCGCGCGCGGCTCGGGGGGCGCTGTGGGCCGCGAGAGGCCTCCCAGGAGCGAGGCGAGAGGAGGCGGTGTCGGAGGCGGCGCTTGGCCGGGGCGGGGCAGCTTGGACGGCGCGCCCGGCGGGGCGCAGGCAGCTCAGACGCGGAGCAGGCGGCGAGCGAGGCGCGGTGGCCAGGACGCACGGTCGGGGCTGCCCAGGGTGTCCTGCGCGCGGCGGCTGCCCGGAGGGCGCCCCCCTGGCGCCTTCGCTGCTGCTCCTCCTCCTCTCTTCCCCATGAGCCGGGCCGGGGGGCTGGCCGTGCATGTTGCTGCAGCTGCTGGGGAGGCGGCGGCGGCGCCGCGGACGGGTTTGCTGAGCGCTCCGCTCCCCGCGCCCCAGCCGCGAATGTGACCCTGCGCTCGGGCTTGTGTGCCTCGGCTCCTGCGCCTCGCCATCCGCCTACTCCCAAGGAAGGAAGGAGGCAGCCAGCCGGCCGGCCGGCCAAGGGTAAGAGAGGCACCGCGGTGGGGAGGTGGGTGAACGGGATGACACGGGACCCTGCGTCTCGTGAGAAGAGGCGACGTGATAGAAAACGTGGGGAGGCGGGAGAGAAGGGGAATCTCTCCTCCGGACACGTGCAGCGGCGCTTTGCAAGTTGCTCTTGAAGCCGGCCCTCGGAGAAAAAGTGTGTGAAGGGGGAGGGGAAAGGTGGGGCGGGGCACGGGCAGTTCACACGTTACACCAGGCACAGCTGTCTCTGCACCGGTACTGGCGTGCGCTTGCCCGGCTCCTGGAAGGTGGACGCGGACTGTACATTCCCGCAACCTTCCGCATGAAGGTCCAGTTCCAACGTTTGCGGGCACGGATCTGTGCGCTCGTTGGATGTAACGTGGGAACATCTCCGGAGAATTAAAAAGGTGGCGTACACGTGCGTATGGGGAATGGTGGGTTTTCTTTCCCCCGACCCCTAACGTGTTTTTTCTTTTAACTGGATGAAGAAGTCTTGCATAACTTGTGTGGAGTTTTGGGAATCATGGAAGTGATGTGGGTCGTCCCCCCATGGTATCGTGTGTAGACCCACAACCGAGACGCTAGAGATACGCGGGGGGTGGGGGCGGTGCCATAAAAGACCCGGCGGTCTGCAGGCAATTTATTGGGGCTTCAGTTCCAGGGAATTCAGAGAAACGTAACTTCCAAGTAAACTGCGGGTGGTAGGATTGTAAGCCTTTCTGTTACAGCCTGGTGCAATATGTACGTGTGTGCGCGCGCGTGTATCTAAAGTTGCCACATGCACATCCCAAACCCCTTAAAATATTTGACGAGGTTGTTCTGCGTTACCGCATTGCATTGTTTTGGCTAAACAAAACGGGGGAGTAAGTAAGGGGTGATTCTTTGGAGCTGTTGTTTAGGGGAGTTCAGAACTTACTGGAGAGTTGAGAGTCATTCTTGAGGTTATTACTCACAGAGCATAAGAGAGCAGTGTATAAATATATATGCTCACATTTGCTGAGATCAGGAGAGAACTTTGGCTAGCTTGTTTGGAAGGGGGAGATTGTGCTCTTGTTTGTTTGTTTGTTTGTTTGTTTGTTATGGGAGCATTGTTAAACCTTACTCCTAAGGGGAGCCAAATGGGGAAAGAAGTCTTGGGAGTGGAACAGGGTTGAGTTCAAGGTGCTTAAGAAAGCTACCTTTTACCAGACCATCTAGCACAGTTACTTGCCAGGATTTCAGACATGGGATTTCTTTCTCTCTCTCCAGCCCTATCTGGAGATGCCAGGGATTGAATCCTGGGACTTTCTGCCTGTAAAACATATGCTGTGCCGCTGAGCTGAACCTTTCCCTAATAAGCTGTGGGTGGAGGGGATGCCTAGCCCAGCCAGAGAGGCAGAAAACGCTCTCTGCAAAATGTGGTGCATTGACCTCCCTTTTCTGGCTGGGGGAGGGAGGGGGGAGGAAGCAGCTAGGTTTGTTCTCCATGCCTCCTTACTTTCTGTTAATGCTTTATTGGAGAGGTGGATAGAGAGTATTCTTTGCATCCATAAGTAAACCGAGAACTAATCAGGGGCTGTGTTTGGGGCTGGACTTGAGGGTAGAGGCCTGATGCCCCACGCTGCAGAACAAGCAGGAAGCACCCCCCTTCCATGCTTGGTGTTTTTGTTTTTGTTTGTTTGTTTTTGGAAGTATTGCATCTTGCCATAGAGAGGGTGGGAAATTTTCTAGAGCCTAAAACTGCCTAACTGCAGCACTGGAATTAAAGGTCAACTAGAAAGAGGGAAGGTATCTGTCGGGCTTTTTTGTTCTGCTCTTCTTGAGGCTGGGATGGGGGTGGAGGAGACCTGGGAGAGGGGGGTATGTGTGCCCCCCCTCCACCAGCACGTGGGTGCCTTTGTGAGATTAGTGGGGCTAAGCTGTGTGTATGTGTTAGCTGGCTTTGAGCCCAGGTCTAAGTTCCTCCAACCACTATGCTGCGCTACCTCTCTTGCTTTGTACTCGCTAGTATACGACATCAGCATAGTCCTTTGCTTGCCTGCTCTGAAGTACTCCAAGGAGAGTGAGTTTAGGACTGCAGCCTGTATCTTGCTGCAGAACCGAAGTCATGGGCATGGGATGGAGAGGGAGCTAAAATATGGGTTTGGATTGGGCAGATCTTTGAAGAAACCCCTAAGGGTGCTGCTGTATCTCATCTAGCATCCTGTACTCACAGTGGCCATCCAAAAGCCTCCAAGCACAGGAGCTGTGCACAACTCTCCCTGCTTGCGATTCCAAGCAAATAGCATTCAGAGGCAGACTGGTGGAGGTAGGACATAGAATCAGGGCTGGTAGCCAGGAACTTGCATATGGACTTTCCTTTCCTTTCTTTCTGTTCCCTTAGACACAAGGAAGGGGTCAAGATGAAAGAGTGTCAATCAACTCTCCCCCACACACTTCATGCAGATTTTTGGGGGTGCATTAGTGGCTGTTCTTGCTCTTTGCTAGCTGGGAAATAAGGGAACCCCTGGCTGGTGCAGCTGATCTGAATGCAAGCTTAAAAGCAGGCATAGGCAAACTTCGGCCCTCCAGATGTTTGGGACTACAATTCCCATCATCCCTGACCACTGGTCCTGTTAGCTAGGGATGATGGGAGTTGTAGTCCCAAACATCTGGAGGGCCAGAGTTTGCCTATGCCTGTGAACTGGCAATACTCTCCCCTCTGCTCTGCGTGGACCAGGGTCCTAAACAGAGGTGAGGAACCTCCAGCCCAGAAGCCAGATGTGGCCCTCCAGACCTCTCTACCTGGTCCTTGAAGCTCTGCTCAGGCCACACCCCACCCAGGCTACGCTTTCCCCTCCCTGGAATGTAGAGTCATAGAATTGTAGCGTTGGAAATGACCCCAGGGGTCATCTAGTCCAACCCTCTGCAATGAGGCCTTTGCAGTTTGGTCATGCTTCCTGACTGCTTGGATGGAGGACAGAGGAGGGCGAGTTTGAAATGGGCTGCTGTGCAAAGGTAAATTGTGTTGCTCCCCACCGACTTTAGCCTCTGATCCTGCCAATCACAGATGTGTGGCCCCCAGAAGGGAATGCAAAAAGGTTGGGTCTGAAAAAGGTTGCTAAGCCTGGATGTTCAATATGTTCTGACATCCGGGTCTCGAAGAGCATTTGAGATGCACCTTTTGGACTCATTTATATTCCCTGTGCCAATGTGCAAGCTTTATGGTTGTGCAGAACTCTTTCTTTGCCCCAGGAGGATTACGCATATGCCAAGATAATCAAAATCTCGTGCTGAGCTCAAGAAAGGGTGTGAAGAGCAAGGGGCCTGGAGAACTGGGGCAGCTGCTTTTGACAAGTCATGCTTGTTCAGTTGTTGCTACACAGTTATTGGCTTGCATTTATACCCTGCCTTCTTCCAAGGAGCATGAGCTGATGTACCTGCTTCCCTTCACCCCTATTTTATCCTCACAACAACCCTGTGAAGTAGGCTAGACTGAGACACAGCAACTGGCTTCAGGGCCAGGTGAGGATTACATAGAATTGTAGAGGTGGAAGGGACTCATCTAGTCCTGGGTTTCCCAAACTTTGGTCTTCAGCTGTTGTTGCACTACAGTTCCCATCATCCCTAGCTTGGTCAGGGATGATAGGAACTGTAGTCCGAAAACAGCTGGAGACCCAGGTTTGGGAAACCCCGATGAAGTCCAACTCCCTGCAATGCAGGAATATGCAGCTGTCCCATACGGGGATTGAACTTGCAACCTTGGCGTTATCAGCACCATGCTCTAGTCTAACCAACTGAGCTATCCAGGCTCTGGAACCCTGGTCTGGTCCTGGTCTGACACGCTACACACTTCGGCTCTTGATGCAGTGTGTTTACCGGTATATGCAAAGAACTCGGCAAAGCTCCCTTGGTCCACAGCTGTGGCAGATTGACAGCTCTGATCCCACCCCCCACCCCCTTAGCCCAGATGGAACTGACATGCTATTGATCTTTGCAGCGGTGGCGGGGCGGGGGGAGTAGGGGCTTAAATGCAAAGCTTCATTATTAGGACCACAGTGCCGCGGCTTCTCTAGAGAGAGATGGAGAATTAGCTCCATAGCAGACGGGCAGTCTGGAGCTGAGACTCTGGGTGGGGGATTAGGCTGGATATAGGGCAGTCAGGGAAGAGGGGGGAGGGGCAGGGGGCTGCGTCCAGCATTAGGGGTGATTGATAGGGGGTTGAATGATAGGGGAGATCTGTTGGGGGTGTCTGCATGCCAGCCGCTGGAGAAAAATGGCAGATGAGACTGAGATGATGGGATTGAGAATTGGAGGGGGTAGGTGTCACCCAGAGGGGATTAAGCGCGGGGGGGGGGGGCGGGGGATGTTGATGCAACACACACTGTTTATGTGCTGTGGTGGGGAGAGTGAGATCATTGTTCATTTGTCTATCCCAGTTTCGGCACTGATCTGAGCAGCCACTTACAGAGAGGGCTGCTTAAGATAAATCTCACATTGCTTACATGCTGTGGGTTGGAGTCAACCAGCATTTTACTCAGCTGAAATGAATGGGCCCTCGTTAGCCACAGCCGTTAATTTCGGGCAGAGGTTGACTATGACCTCATGCACTTAAAGTCCCGCCCCCTGCCCCAGAATCCCAGGAACTGCAGTTTGCTAAGGGGGCTGAGAGTTGTAGCTCTCTGTGAGGGGTGAACTACAGTTCCCAGAATTATTTGAGACACGTGTGTTTTAAATCTATGTTATGTATACAGGGTTATTGATGGGGGAGGAGATATCCTTCTGCCAGCCTCTTCTCTCCCTCTGGGCTCTGTTTAGCCTTGGAGCTGTGTGTGTGTGTGTGTGTGTGTGTGTGTGTGTGTGTAAGGGGTGCATAGGAGCCCCCAGGGTCCGATGCTAAAGTGAACGATGGATCTGGCATATTCCGTTTGCAGAGCTTGCATTGGAGGTGGGAAGTTGGGCTAGGAGAGAGCAGAGCTTTTTGGCAGGCGAGGACCCCTTTGCAGCTGGATCTGTTTATTATTGCTTAGTAAGTGGGTGGCGCTTGCCTCTTCTCCACCCTTAAAAAACAAGCCGTGACTTCTCTCCGCACAAGCTCTCTTATTTACACTTGTTTATCCGGAGGATAACAGGATTTCCTCTGTGTTGAACCGATGCACTTATTACACTGGCAGCCTTGTCAAGCTGCAGTGAAGGGCCGGACCCATGAAAATCCGGGTGGTGGCATAGGGTGCCCTTGCCATGCCCATCTGTGTCTGCAGTGATTTATTTTCCTGATGAAGCCCAGAGGGATGCTTCTTTTGAAAACAAATAAATAAAATCCACAAAGCAAGGGAAGAAGGATGCAGCTTCAAATACATCCTTACATTCTTGGGTTAACGGAAGAGATCCAATGCAGATGTTAAAGGTAAAGGTAAAGGGAACCCTGACCATTAGGTCCAGTCGTGGCCGACTCTGTGGTTGCCGTGCTCATCTCGCTTTATTGGCCGAGGGAGCCGGCGTACAGCTTCCGGGTCATGTGGCCAGCATGACTAAGTCACTTCTGGCAAACCAGAGCAGCACACGGAAACGCCGTTTACCTTCCCACCGGAGCGGTACCTATTTATCTACTTGCACTTTGACGTGCTTTCAAACTGCTAGGTTGGCAGGAGCAGGGACTGAGCAACGGGAGCTCACCCCGTCGCGGGGATTCGAACCGCCGACCTTCTGATCGGCAAGTCCTAGGCTCTGTGGTTTAACTCACAGCGCCACCCGCGTCCCTTAACGCAGAGGTTATCTTGCTACAAAATCTAGTAATCCCTCAGTGATTTTTGTTGTTGACCATTCTTTATTAAATCTGTTTTCTTGCCTGAAGGAGACGGGGTGGCCAATAGCAAGCAATGAAACGTCTTTAAAACAATTCCAAATACAGACACAGACCTTTTAAGGGCCAGGGGTCCACTTTTGAGCCCCAGGCCTGAGGTCTTCCCACTCCTGTTGTAAATGGAACAAAGCCTGCAATCAAACAGCAATCAGACTGCTAGCACATTTGCAAAGCTAAGCAGACTGGCCCTCGTGGCCTCTGACTCAGGAAACCATTCCCTAATATGAGAGGCCTGGACAAAAGTTTGCTTGCTTGGTGCTGAGAGCTACATGCTCAGAGGCACTCTTTATCATTTGTGTATTTCCAGTGAGGTGAGCCCTTGCTTTCAAAGCAGGTTTCTGTGATGAGGTTTGGCTGAAGTAAAAGTGTTGCTATACATCTATGCAATGATGGAGATGTTGGCAGGACCCTTGACTGTTCACACAGAAGGTCTCAGTTCAATCCTCAGCATCTCCAGTTTAAAAAGGACCAGGTAACCGGTGATAGGAAAGACCTGTGCTCAGGACCTTGGAGATTTCACGCTACTGGGCTAGGTGGACCAGTAGTCTGACCTGATAGTCTAAGCAAGGCACTATGACCCAGAGCAGGAATAAGGGAACCCAGTGCTTTCTGGGTGCTGTTGGACTCCCAATTCCCATCAGCCTCAACCAGCATGGCCAGAGGCAGGATGAGTTGTAGTCCTTTCAGGCTTTGCCTTCCTCCTGCTTCTTCTCCAAGTTCAGCCAGTAGCAGCATGTGCTAGTCTTAAATTCTTGGCTGCATCTTGGTCATATTGTCAAACTTAGAATGGCTTTGATCTCCATGCGTAATAAACTTTTAAGTTGTATTGGTTCTTCTGACAAGCAGTCTTACTAGACTATTTCTCTCTGCACACCCCTGCAATATATTTACCAAACTTCCAAGAGTTATGAACCCCCAATTGGACTGCAGCCCACCATCCTATCTTTGGTGACCACCCAGGTGCTTGCCAGTGTGGTCCTCCCTTTTTGGGGGAGTCCAGGGCAATCGGGGAAGATTGTTAAACTGACAGATAGGCTGCTGGAAGGTACCAAAGCTGCAGGGCAGGGGTGGAATCAGATTCAGACCAACCCTTGGTCTTTGTTAAGCTCCTCCCCACCCCTTTGCTTTGTAGATCGGATGTGACTTGCTAGCCCTTATGATTGCAGAGATAGATTTGAATATGCAATAGCCGAAAATAAGGAGAAAGCCTGCAGTAGCCTTCAATGGTTGAGTGACTTACCTATCCTTGGCCACAGTGCCATCTCTCCAACTAGGATTCAGATCCAGCCCTTCCATCTTCTAAAAATACATTTTTTACTCCACCTCTCCATGTCCCCGAACAGGGTCATAATTCCTCTTAGCAGCTGAAGTGTAGAGCTTTCTCTCTCTCGTGCAGCGTTGTGCAGACTAAGAGGAAACCATTGTGGCAGTTCTGCATGCAAAGCACATTGCCATTATTAATTATTGCTCTGCAGCCACGTATCTTCGTCCGCCTGATCGCCGCTCAGCTGTCATTTGTTCCGTTATCAGTCAATGCAGCTTATTCCTTGGATCTGGCGGGGAAAGATTGGGCAGAAATCCGACTCGGCAGCAACTCTGTGGCACGTGGCAGGGTCTGCTTTTGCTTCTGGAGCTGCAGCAGGGAAGAGAAATCTGCTTCAAGGGGCAGAGCTAGGTTTTTGCAGTAGCTCTGCAGAGGTGATTCCAGGCCTTTGAGTCCCTGGGTGGCTAGAATATTGATGGTGCTACGAGGAACTATAGAAAAGAACTGAATTTGCCCCCTTCAATCTGGAAGATTTGAACAACCTGATCTGGCACCTGAAACACTTCTGTGTCATCCAGGGCTTGGGAACTTATTTCAGCTGGAGGGCCAACTTAAAACTTTCCAGGGGCCACATTCTATTGGCCCATGTAGTCCAGCATCCTGGTGGTGCTTAATGCAGTCCTCCATGCCATCATAAAACATCAGACATTAAAAACTTCCTGATACAGGGCTGCTTTCATATGTCTTCTAAAAGTTGTGTGGTTTCTCATCTCCTTGACATCTGATGGGAGGGTGTTACATGGTCGCCACTACTGCTAAGGCCATGTACTTGGTTACTTCTCGCAGTGAGGGAACCTCCAGAAGGCCCTTGGAGCTGGACCTCAGTGTCTGGGCTGAATGATGGGGGGTGGAGATGCTCCTTCAGGTATACTGGGCCGAGGCCATTTAGGGCTTTAAAGGTCAGCACCAACACTTTGAATTGTGCTTGGAAACGTACTGGGAGCCAATGTAGATCTTTTAGGACCGGTGTTATGTGGTCTTGGCGGCCGCTACCAGTCACCAGATGTTGCATTCTGGATTAGTTGTAGTTTCCGAGTCAGCTTCAAAGGTAGCCCATGATGCCATTTGATTGCCTGGCATGGGAAATGGGGAAAAGCAAATGCACAAATCTCTGGCTTCTGCTTGGCTCAAATGTAGCCAATTGCACAAAATCACTTCTGTTACTCTGCCTCCTCCTGCCTTTGGAGCCCTCGGAAAGTTACACACAATAGGATGCAACCCTCGAGCTGAAATAGCCTCTGAACCAGCCCAGTCTAGTCTGTTCTCACGGGGCAAAGCTGTACAGTGTCTTGGGCAGAGAAGGTGTTTCCTGTCAGCTGCTACTACCCAACCTTTTCAATGGGGGAGGCAGTTTCACACCCGCTTGCCCTGCCAGTTGTCTCCTTTATGGCATAAAGGGGATTTTCTACCCTGCCCAGCCCTATCTCAGTGGAAAGAGGAAATGAAATACAACTTGAGGCTGACTCTGAGTGGTTATCCATGCTGCGTGATCTCTCGGGAAACAGACTTGTCCTAGAATAGCTCGATCACATGGGGGGTACATGACATGAATAAAATATCCAGAAAAATGAAGGAGAAACCTCTTGGAAAGAGTGAGCTGCCTTGAAACCCTCGCTCATTACTTGTTTGGGCAACACTGAAGCAAAACAACTAGCGCAGAATAATTGCACACCCGGAGCCAAAGGCAGTGGGGGGGGGGGAATGCAAGTTCTGATCATCTGACGTTTGCTCTAAAAGGCTGTTTATCACATCTCTTTCAAACATCCGTGCCGATTGGAATTGCTTCTCCGCACGGCTTTCCATGAATCAATGCATTGTTTGATGCGCTGAGTACTGTACAAATTTTCTCCTTTATTTAAAAGTTAAATATACCTGATTGGGTCATTGGTGCGGCTTGCTGGGTAGAGCTTACGCTGATAACATTAAAGAGAGTGAGGAGAACCCTGTTGGGTCAGACCAAAGGCCTGTCTTGTGGGGAGGGGGAGAGACAGACCTTGGGTCCCAGGGACCAAATGCAGCTCCTGAAACCCCGGCCCTTGGGATTTCCCCCCATTTCACACCCCTGACTAGCCTTGCTTCACACCCTCCTTGGGTGTTTTTGCATGGCTGGAATTGAACTCTTATAATGCTCATCTGCTTGCCTGGATGGCGGCTAGAGAGAGATGTGTGCAGAAACTAGCCAACTGTACAAACTAACATTTACATGCATTACACTGCTCAGTTCTGTCTCTGGCACCACCCATCACTGGCAAGTACCCCATCCACCCAAGATGGTTGCCCAGAAGACAGTGAAGCTCTCTGGGGAAAAATGGTTTCCCATCCCTGGGCTACACCCACACTATACCTTCAAAGCACATTCTTTCTCTCAAAGAATTCTGGGAATTGTAGTTTATCTCAAAAGAGCAGGTGGCCCAGCTGTGTGCCTCGGTCTGGACTCTTTAGTTCTTTTGGCCACATATTGCGTGCTCACTTTTCTGAATGCTGCTTGGTTCAATAATAGCAAAAATAATCATTATCATTGCTTAGTAGTAGTAGTACTTTTATTACTTATACGGTGCCCATCCGACAGGGTAGCCCCAGCCACTCTGGGCAACTTCCAACATAATATAAACACGGAGCAAAACATCAAAGATTAAAAACCTCCCTATACAGGACTTTCTTCAGATGTCTTCTAAAAGTCAGATAGTTGTTTATTTCCTTGACATCTGACAGGAGGATGTTCCACAGGAAGGGCACCAATACCAAAAAGGCCCTCTGCCTGTAACTTCACTTCTCACCCTGAGGGAACTGCCAGAAGGCCCATGGAACAGTTAATAACAACCCATTATTATTGTTGTTGTTGTTGTTGTTGTTGTTGTTATACAAATATTAATAATGAACTAATAATGTATTGTTTCTAGTTTCATTTGTGAACTGCTTCTTGCAAAGCCTCTCAAAGCGATTTCAACATTCAGAAAAATCATGCATAAAATAACTGGATATCTATAAAAAAAACAGTTTCAAACCCAGTGCCAATACTGTGATCTATACAATAGTAAGCAAAGCAGGTCAGAGTTCTAGCCTGCTCAGGAATTATTATTTGGTATGAGGGAAGCATTCTATCATGTTAGCCCCACCTGGAAATAGAACATAACGTAACATTCTTCTTTGTATCTCCTCACCTTCTTTGGTTTCAGGCAGGAAAAATGACCCCCTTCCCAACTGTGGCCCTCCTCCTCCTCCTCTTTGTGGTGGGCTATGGATCGTCGGAGAATTCCAGTACCTCCAGAGGGTGTGGCCTGGACCTTTTCCCTCAATATGTCTACCTGTGTGACCTGGATGCCATCTGGGGGATCGTCGTGGAGGCGGTGGCCGGAGCTGGAGTCTTGACGACGCTGCTCCTCATGCTGATCTTGCTGGCAAGGTTGCCATTCATCAAGGAAAAAGAGAAGAAGAGTCCGCTGGGGGTCCACTTCCTCTTCCTCTTCGGGACCCTGGGCCTCTTCGGGTTGGCCTTCGCCTTCATCATCCAGGAGGATGAGACCATCTGCTCGGTCCGCCGTTTCGCCTGGGGGGTCCTCTTTGCGCTCTGCTTCTCGTGTTTGCTTGTCCAAGCCTGGAGGCTACGGAAACTCGTCCGGCACGGCAAGAGCCCGTCTGGGTGGCAGCTGGCCGGCGTCGCCGTCTGCTTCGCGCTGGTCCAAGTCATTATTGCAGCGGAGTGGATGATACTGACAGTCGTGCGGGACGGGAAACAGGCCTGCCGTTACGAGCCGATGGATTTCGCGATGGCTTCCATCTACGTTATGTTTCTGATGGTGCTGGCCCTGGGCTTTTCTTTCTTCACAGTGTGCGGGAAGTTTAAGAAATGGAAGAAGAACGGAGTGTGCCTCATTCTAACCAGCTTTTTCTCAATCCTCCTTTGGGTTGCTTGGCTGACTATGTACCTGTATGGTAATAACGAACTGAGGAGAAGAGACCAATGGAGTGACCCCACTCTGGCAATAGCACTGGTGTCTAGTGGTTGGGTCTTCGTGATCTTCCACGCTATCCCGGAGGTTCACTGCTCCATCCTTCCATCCCAGCAGGAAAACACACCTAATTATTTTGATACTTCGCAACCGCGGATGCGGGAGACTGCTTTTGAGGACGACCTGCAGCTTCCGCGGAGCTACATGGAAAACAAAGCCTTTTCGATGGATGAGCATAATGCAGGTAAGACGCTTAAACCACAATGTGTTCTTTGCAGGGCAGGGATGGATCTCCCGCAGCCTTCGAAATTGTTGAAGGGACTACAATCCCCATCATCCCTGCCCATCGGCTGTGCTGTCTAGGACTGAGGGAGAGTTGGAGTCCAGCAACATTTGGATGGCTACAGGTTACCCATCCCATATTTAGGGCATTATAATAAAGATGTATTTGGCAGGCGGGAACGTGTTCTGTGGAAAGGAAATTGTGGTGGCAAGTTTTGAGGCGGTGAGAGGGCCTATTTGACCACGTGCTCCAAAGGTCTCCATCATGGTCTTTGGAGGAGAACTAAGGGATGTTGCAGATCCACTAGAACTTACATTTTTGTAGTTAAATGGGTGGTGGGTGCATAATATTTATAGTTCACATGTAGTGATCACTGAGACGGCATCTACTTGGGTGAGACAATTCTGCCGGTTGCCGCTGGCGTGGCTGTTCCTGGTGTGTTAGAATAACAAGCAATGTTGGAAACTCTGATATATAAGCTAGGCAGCAAATGACTCCGTAAACCAAAGTTGCCGTCTGCAAAATGGATTATCTAGTTGCTATTTGGGGGCAAGATGGCTCTAAAGTCTTTATTTTTCAAATGATGGACTGACTGTGATTGATTAAACATCTGACTAGTTCAGATGACAACCTTGAGCTAGGTTAAGAGCTTTGAGAACTCCTTAAAGAAGAATGGGAACCTTTTACAAAGTACTTAAAGAAACAACAAAATGAACTGGACTCCTTGGCAGGTTTTGAATAAACATTTACAAACTTCTTATTGGTAATATATAGATAGATAAATTAAGGATCTTTACAATTCTATAATATGCAGAGAACAACATGTGCTGAAAAACCAGAGAAAGGAGCTGAGGGAAGTCTGGGGGGGGGGAGTGGGTGGGTTTTTCTTTTTTGGGGAGGGGGGAGGGGGAAAATGTGGGGAAAGGAAGTTGATATGTTTTTGATAAATTGTTATGTTGAAATTCCTAATAAAAAGTATTCCAAAAAAAAGAAAGAAAAGAGCTTTGAGAACTCGGAGAAGAAAAGTCAATTGATCCAGGGACAGCCCACATATATATTGGCCTATTCCAACCTCCTTTTCTTAATGGTGACTGCTCCTGCTCAGGCTGCACAGAAAAAGCAATTTGGTTCCAGAGACTCATTCCGATAGTGCAGATGAAATATAACTGATGGAATTCTACAGGATGGGGTAGGAGTATGTGAAAACAGTCCAGATCCAATGATCCCTAGATGGTGGAGATGTCAAGTGCCATCCTGGCACCCAGGCATCTTCGCTTTGTCACAAGTGGTTGAAAGCAAAATGCGCCTGGCGCCTGGCTAATTTCGAACACGGCTTTTGAGGTGAGGTGACCAGAATTTTGCAACATATTCCAAATGCAGTCACATCATAGCGTATTTTGTGGGTTTTTATGTTTCCTTATAGTATAACACTTTCCCCCTCCTCAAATTCTGTGACCAAGTTATATGCTACAGCTAGGATAGCTTGCCTTATGCTCTGTGCTACTGACTTTTGGGAGGCTAAATGTTTCCGAATGCTGTTTCTGAGCTGTAAGGTGGCAAGAGCAACCAGCTCTGGTGTGGGGTTCAATATTCTAACAAGGTAGGGAAAGAAAAGGAAACATTTGTGATTGGTTATGAGCACATCCTTGCATTGGAAAAGATAGAGCAGGTCAGGTTATTACAGAATAAATGGATTCCTGCTGTACATAAAGCAGGCAGAGAAGTTTTGAAGGATGTGTAATGGGCATTGGGAGGGCATTGTTCAGGCTGTAATAAGAACATCAGCAGGGCCTTGCTGGATCAGGCCAAGAGTCCAGCATCCTGGGGCCCTTCCAGATGTACCGTTAGCAGCACTATAACTGTTTGGGATCCCCCCCCCCCCGCATTGCATCATTTTATCACTATTCCGGAATACTGCAGTCATCAAAGCAGTTTTTCTTCTATCACAGAAAAATGCAGCATTTGTGAAAGACCTGGAATATGTTCTGCAATATGTCCATTGTGAGGAAGGTGCCTTGTGCAATTTCCCACATTTTGTCCGGCATTTGGGGTGTGCTTTAAGCAGCTTCTGTTTCGTGCCGTTTCTAAGAGGATTGGACAAATTCATGGAGGATAAGCCTATCAATGGCTACTATCCATGGTTACTATACTCCACGGTTGAAGGCAGTAATGCTATTGAATACCAGTCGCTGCGAACCGCAGGAAGGGCGACTCCTCTCATCCTCAGGTCCTGCTTGCGGGTTTCCCAGACGCATCTGGGCAACAGGGTAACAGGATGCTGGACCAGATGAGCAACTGGCCTGGTCCAGCAGGTCCTCCTTATGTTCTTACATTCCCCCTTGTGCTTTTTTGACAAGAGGTTATCCATAGCTAAGACCCAAACAGTGAACTCAAGAAGTTCCTACAGCCTAACCTCAGGAATCCTGTGAATGTGCTATCGATACCCTGTTTTGCCCACTTGAAACTCCCAGCATTTGCCGGTTGAATGAACAAGAGAATGGAAGTGACATGGCTGCAGCCACAAAACGTTTCTCAGTGTTGGAAACTCTTGATAAATAAGCTAGGCGGCAAATGGCTCCGTAAAACAAGGTTGCAGTCGCCACAATGAAATGTCCAATTGCCATTTCTGGGCAGCTCTAGAGTCTTATTTTTTTTCCCAAATGATGGACTGACTGCGATTGATTATCTGGCTAGTTCAGATGACACCCTTGAGCTAGGTTAAGAACGTGAGGAACCTAAAGAAGAAAAGTCACTTTATCCAGGGACAGTCCACATGTATATCGGCCAGTTTCTACAGGATGTGGTATTAGTGTGTGAGGACAGATCCAATGGCCCCCACGCATGCACCACCAGATGATGGAGATGTCAGGCACCATCCTGGCGCCTGGGCATCTTCACTTGGTCACAAGTGGCTGATAGCCAGGTGCAAAATTTGCCTGGCGCCTGGCTAATTTCAAACACTGTTTCCAATCTGAACACATCCTGTCATTGGTGTGTATAAGGAAAAAAGCACCATCATCCTCAAAAAACAACAACAGTGGTGTGTATCTCTTGGTGTGGACAGCATGCTACAAATTTTCTCCCATAAACATTGGCATGGCCAGCACCCATATTGTTCTAAACCAGGGGTCAGCAAACTTTTTCAGCAGGGGGCCGGTCCACTGTCCCTCAGACCTTGTGGGGGGCCGGACTATATTTTGAAGGGGGAAAAAATGAACAAATTCTTATGGCCCAAAAATAACCCAGAGATGCATTTTAAATAAAAGCACACATTCATGTAAAAACACGCTAATTCCCGGATCCGGTAGGCCTTAGTTTGCCTACCCATGTTCTAAACAAAGCATCTGCAGGAGCCACCCAGATGATTCTGGGAAGCTCATAATCATAATAATAATAATAATAATAATAATAATAATAGTAAATTTTATTTATATCCCGCCCTCCCTAGCCGAAGCCGGGCTCAGGGCGGCTAACAACACTAAAATAGTGCAACATTATAAAAACATTATAAAAATTAATTAAAATCAAAATTGATGGCAACCATAAACTAAAGTTTTGTAAAGATTGCCAAAGGAGGGAGTCAGGCTGCGCCCTGACCAAAGGCCTGGTAGAACAAGTGGATACAACCCTTATTTATGAGGAGTACTGTAAGAGACTCCTTCTTTACACTTGTGAAATGTTGGCAGGCATGTGTCTAAGGTGTAGAAATGACCTGTACATCTTCTGCAGCCCCCAGCACTCAGTTTGGATGCTGATGTAATAGTCATAAAACACGGGGCCATTTGCTTGCAGAGCATTGTGCTGTACCGCTGAGCTGCGTCTCGCTTCTCGTATCACCTTTCGGACACTTGGGTTGGGGACGGAGCAATCTTTCTGAGAGCTGAGCGCCACTCAGGCCTGCAGCGACCGCCCCAGATTGCCAAGGATGACAGCCATGTAATTCAGCTTAAAGGGACGAGGCTAATCAACCAGGAGCCTGTTCCCGCTGTGAAAAGATTATCCTGTCAGGCGCAGGAGAGAAACACACATGCAGTAATCCAGGCATACCCTCCATCCCATCTGCTCGGACATGAAGGATGTAGCAGGAGCAACAGTTTTGTCCAAACAGACAGCTTGGCAGCTTCCTAGTAATAATAATAATAATAATAATAATTTGTTATTTATACCCCGCCCATCTGGCTGGGTTTCCCCAGCCACTCTGGGCGGTTTCAAACAAAGTATTAAAATACAGTAGTCTGTTAAACATTAAAAGCTTCCCTAAACAGGGCTGCCTTCAGATGTCTTCTAAAAGTCTGGTAGTTGTTCTTCTCTTTGACATCTGGAGTTCCACAGGGCGGGTGCCACTACCAAGAAGGCCCTCTGCCTGGTTCCCTGTAACTTGGAGTTCCTAGGGCATTCTCTCCAACCATCCCTGTTGCTCACCCTAATTCTGAGAATTAGGGTGAGCAATTTCAGGGTTACAGTGCTCATCCTGGGTTCACTTTCCCTTAGAATTAGGTTACTAGAGCCTTGTTATTTTTGTGATTGTTTTGGTGGTGGTGCCTGTGATGCCCAACTTGTGTTTCTCCCTATGACAATGGATTTCAGCTCCTCTTAGTCCCACACAGCATGGCCAGTACTTAAGGATGATGGGAGTTGTAGTACAACAACCCCTGGAAGGCCACATCAACTATCTAAAAACAAAGTGTGTCTTTTCTTTTCCTTTGAATGATTGGTGACATAAAAAGCAGCCTTACAAGTTGTTTTCAGCTGTGTTGAATGTGTTTTAATGTGGTAACCTATCTTGGGATCCGTCTAGTTCAGTATTGTCTGCACGGTCTGTCAGCAGCTCGGTGGTTTGAGGCAAGGGCATTCTTCAGCTGTTTAGTATGCGAGTAACCAGCCACCGCCAATTTAAATCTTTGTTTCCTCAGCACAACTCTGAATTTGGAGTGCTCCATGTCAAAATGTTTGTAGTGAGATGACAGGCGAGTTTTGAAAGCTTTTGAAGATACTGGCTTGTTGGGGCTGCTTTTCCCGCACCCCAGATCCCACGAGAGACTGCTGATTTTGTCACATGGCTGAATTCTGGTTCATTTGGAAGTTGACTTCTAAAGCCTTGGCTTTACTTTTTTTCCATCGTCTTTGAATTCTTACTACGTAGAAACAAATGAGAACTTAGCACTCCTCCTTAACATATTGGATTGTAGAGATATAGCACCTTGGGAAGGGCTGCAGCTCAGTGGTAGAACATCTGCATTGTATGCAGAAGGTGCCAGGTGGAGTCTCAACCTGGCAGCTCCACATAGGGCTCAGAGATGGACCTAGAGACCCATCAGTGCCGACAATACAGACCTAGGTGGACCAGTGGTCTGACTCAGTATCATGAACGCCCATAGCTGAGTGGTAGAGCATTTGCTTTGCATTTGGAAGGTCCCAGGTTCGATCCCCGGCTTCTCCAGTTTGAGAAGAACTGTGTCTGAAACCCTGGAGAACCAGTGCTAGTCAGTGATGCTCTGGGATGTGGAACCTCAGGTCCTGGGGTCAGACATGGCCTTCCAGGCCTCTCTATCAGTACCAGTGTTCAAATTAGTCAGGTGCCAGGTGCATTTTGCACCTGGCTATCAGCCACTGGCGACCAAGTGAAGTTGCCTGAGTGCCAGGATGAGACCTGGCATTTCCACCATCTGAAGGTGCATGCCTGGGGAATCAATGGAACTGGACTGTTTCCACACACTGATACCACATTCTCTTAATATGATAAAGCTATCTGAACAAACTCTAAAAACAGCAAAAGCAACGTTTCATCAAATATTAAATTGATCTTCCATAAATGACCATGTTACACCTCAGGGAAAGCTTTCCTAGGCAGAAATGTGTTCAGTAAACACCAAACTATCCATAACAGGTTTAAGAGGGCAGTGAAGGAGGAGAAGTTGTTGCCATGTGTAGAAATGAATTAGGGGGATGACCAAATAAAAACCAGAAGTTTAGGGAGTCTGTGGTGTCTCAAATAAAAACAATCCTCTTTATTCAATAGCACCTCAATGGTCTAGCAAGAGAGGATTTATATTTCTAGTGTAAGAGGCTGCTGGGATTTCTTCTGGGGTGTCATTTTTGCCCAGGTGCAGAAGAGGTGAACCATGGGCTTGCCGTGCAATGCCTTCTGATGTGCCTAGCAGTGAAGTACGCAGTCCTTGGCTGTCCATTATTTTAATGTCTTTTGGCTGTCCAGTTAACGTTGTCCTTTGATACAGAAGTAACACAAAATTCTAGCTAATCAGGAACAACTGAAAATTGGTCACACTGCTGGAACCAATCACATTACAGGTCACTACCATCGAGTAGCCAATCAGATTACAAATGGGCACCCACTGGCAGAATTCCATGGAAGATTAATCGCTGTTCACCTGCACTGAACCCATCAGTGGGTAGATTTAAATGTGCACTACCGCTGTCTGGAAAGTGTATCTGTCCTCTGCCCCCTTTGTTGTTTTTGCCTCAGATTAACATGGAAAGGAAAGCCTCTCCCCAACATCTGCCTAAGTCTGAATATTTGTGATTCTTTCATGTCAGTCAATATTTTCACCATCTGCATTGAAATTTGCAGATTGCAGGAAGCTTGCTAGATGTTATTTCACAAAGGCGATATAATAATTACTTATATAAAATATATTGGAAGCTTCCCAATGGAATGGGATATGAGAAACCAAATATTGCCTGACCTCCCATCTTTTTTGCTATGACCAAAATTGAGAGCTCCTCCTTTTCTAAAACATCTGTAATACTATACACATTCATTTAGGCATGACAGCACAGTGGGGCTTCCTTCTGAGTCAACAAGAAGGATTGTCATGCACTTCTGTTAGCAAAGTGGGAAAATATTTGCTCTCTGCTGTCCCAGAAGCAGTGGAGGCTGGTCCATTAGAGTGAATGGAGCTCTGCCCTGCCAGCCTCAATCTCTTTCTAACCATCCTCCAGCAGCCTGCCTCCTCTGTGTTGCCCTTGTAGAGTTCAGCAGGGAGGAGGATGGGGCAAAAGTAGGCTCTAGCCCTGCCTGCCATTGGTTTTGGCTCTCCTTATTGTTGGTCTTCCAGCAGTCCACCCTACCAGTCCCAATGGGCACCAGCCATCACTTATTAGTCAGAAGACAAGAGTCTATCTAATGGGCTTAAGTAGATTTAGGTGGGTAGATTAAAAAATGATGTAGATTGGGAGAAATGCACAATAAAATGTTAATGAATTTTTATTAGGATGTTTTCTTTTATAAAAAAAAGAAACTGCAAATACTTTCACAATGTTTTGCATTGCTTTGACTCTTTTCTGTAGCGTTAAATTCATCAGCTTTTCATTTCATTGTGGTGTAACTTTATCAGCTTTGTAGCTTTCTGAACTGGTACTTTATAAGAGAGATAAATCAATATAAAAAAACCTCATGAAATGAAAAGTAAACAATTGTTTTTTGGGGACGGCTGGACAGCAAGCTGATGTAGAAATGTGAAGAACTAAACTTAAGATTGGAAAAATGAGAAACCGAGAGAAACTGAAATCACTAGATTTTCCCATCTCTAGTTGCCATCTATGAAGTTTAGGAATAAGGTTTTCCTGTTAGTCTTTGTACTTCCATGTGATGAAATATTTGGGCAGATCCACATTATAAATAAAATTTATTATTATTATTATTATTATTATTATTATTATTATACATTTGAAGTGCATTCAGTGCATCTTTAAAGCACACATCTTTCCCCAAAGCATCCTGGGAACTGTAGTTTACCCCTAGCAAACTACAGATCCCATGATTCTTTGGGGGACATCTTGTGCTTTATATGTGCTTTGGATGTGCTTTAAATATATGGCATAGATAGGATATGCTCTCTGTTTCAATACTCAAAGGTGGTATTATTCCCTTCATTTCTGAGGTTTAGGATGTGAGTGCAGGTGATCCTTAGGTAATCAAAACAGTAGTAAAGAGGGGAGGTATCAGCAGGTTTCTGGGAGGGAGCAGAGATCCCAAAGGATTGCAGAGGTACATAAAATCTTTAGAGTTGGGGAAAATAAGGCAAGAGTATAGCGGAGCCCAGAAATGGCCCAATGAAGACTGGGCATGGTCAGTGATCACAGAACGTTGTCTGGTTGCTGGAAGGTGGCATGTGTGGAAAGCCTGGCAAGGATTGAAATAGAATGGAGTTGGCTGGAATCTTCGGGGGGGAGCACTTTACGCTGCAACACTCGGTTGCACCTACCATTTGCACCCGCAGCGGCCATTAGGATGTCAACCTGCTTGCAGACATCCTAGAGGCAACTGGTGGGCAAGTAAGGGAAGCAGGATACAGTTCTTTTTTTATATATTGCCAGAATGCAAACATCTTTCTTTTACCTGTCTTTTCTTTTTCCCCACCCCAAAATATACCACACACAGCTTTGCGGACTGCAGGATTTCGCAACGGCAGCCTGGGTAGCCGTCCCGGCGCCCCCTTTAGAAGCAACGTCTACCAGCCCACTGAGATGGCAGTTGTCCTGAATGGTGGGACTGTAAGTATCAAAATGTGACTCTAGAAGATGCTGCCTTTTAGGGTGAATGCCCAACCTCTGGTCTCAACTCAGAACATTATTCAATTGGATGCTTACGCATATTTGGGGAGGCAGGATAGACTGGGGACATGAACAGTTCAAATAATAACTATTGCATGCAGTCCTTCAGAAGATGACTTAAATTCCAAATTTTCCTGACATTGTTGGGCCGTTTAAGCTTTTGCTGCTAAGATTGTTCTTTTCAGGACTGGTCCAAACAATGCCATCCGCCCCCCCCTTAAATGAGTTATATCTCAATGTCCACTGTTAACAGCAATTCAGGTGTCTGGTTTTTTATTCTTTAAAATTGCAACACACATCTGAGTTTTGTTTCTTTTTTGAAAAGCCAGCACTTTCCCTACAAAGGCCCTCTTTCGCTGAGGACATTGCCACCTTTCCTTATGATAGTTCCACACACACACACACACACACACACACATACACACGTGCCTGTGCTGAGCTCTTGATAGAAACACACCGCTGCAAACAGAAGCCTGCACAAGAGAGTTTGCTCAAACGGGTCTGCGTGGCCTTGGGACGCGAGCTGCTCTCTTAATCCGCAGCCAGGTCACTGCGAGAGTGGCTTACGGAGAGATCTGGAGCCAAACAGCCTCCTTACATCTCATTTGCATTGTGTGTGTTTAAGTGCGCCCAAGAAACTCCACAGGCCGCTTTTCTGTGTGCTCACACTCTCCGGCTTGCTGGTGTAAGGAAAACGCTCATCCCCCCCCACCCACTTTTTTTAAAAAAAGTCCATGCCTACATACATGCTGCTTAAAAGGCTACTCATGAGCCAGCTTCTGCTCCATGCAAGTTGGGCTGTTTTCTTTTATTATCATTGGGGGGTTTTGCTGATACCATACTGCAGATTTACACACAATCCTTTTTTATTTTTTTGAAATGCACAAATATTATCATCAGTTTGTAAGGTCTGTTCCCCAGCCTGCTGCCAGCCCTGTTCACTCGGCGAGGGGTGGGGGGGTGGAGAGACACTGTTGGAGAGAGCCGAGGGGAGCCAGATTGCCCCTGTGAGGATGTAACCAGTTGGAGGGGGAGCTCAAGAGCGGCTCTCTGCAGCTAATACTGCTCTGAACTAATGCCATTCCGAGCTGCAATAAGCTGCCCTCTCCCTCCCTCCCCAAGCCACAATTTAGTTGATTATACTGGCTGCAACCTGGCTTTTGATGGCTAGGTCTGAAAGAGGCAGTTTGCTTTTGTGGCCTTTCCCTAGGAGTCAACGTTAGATTTAGAAATATCCGCTAAGTGCCATGATTGAGGCTGAGATTTGCACACCACAAGACTAAAATCTAGTGGGGGGTTCAGTTTATTCACTCAATATTCATCACCCACAAGAAAGCTGAGTTTCTTCCCCTCCTCGTTTGTAGGTGCCCGTGCTTTGGGCAATGGAAGCTGGTCCAATACACTGACCTCAGTCAGCTCCCATCTGTCTGCCTTCTTATATACAACCAGTCCAGCTGGTGCCCCTGGCTATCGCCTTCCTCCTCTTGTCTCAGATTTGCCCTTGTAGGAGGATGGGGACCAAGCTAGGACGAGTCTGCTATTAGCTCTAGCGCCACCTACTGTTGGCTTCCCTGCCTTCTGGCCTACCAGTCCCAGTGGGTACCAGCCAATACAAGCTTTGGCCCAGCTCACTGAAATAGCCAGCTGGAGTCTGCCCTATACCATTTCCAGGCTGCATAACTGAAAGCTATTATGTCTGAGGGGAAGACTAGACATCATAATTTGGTAGTCCCGAATTCATTCCCTGAAATATTCTCCAGAAGGGATGGGAAAGGGCTGGAGATCCCAGAAGCCATGATCCTCTGCTAGAATTTGGTGATTTTGTCCTTCAGTAGTAGAATACTGCTTCATAATGTTCATAAAGAAAAGGATGAAGGACCTGGGTATCCAGCCCAGAGGTTGTCCACCTCGCTGACAAATAGGTCTTCGCAGAGGATGTTACAAAAACCCCTCGGGTTGTCTCCAAGTGAGCCCTATTCAGAGCAGGCCTGCTGAAAGTCACAGACCAGCAGTGATCATGCGCATTAATTCCAACTCTCCAGTAGGACTTCACATTGGCTACAGCCCTTAGCATACTTACTGACCATGGTGTTAATTTGGGATGGCTCTGTGTGCTTTTGTGTATATAATGTAGCCTGTCTTAAGTGATTTCTTAATGGTCTAGAATGCTTAGTTATGGCTTTATTATCCTTATTTCCAGATTCCAACTGCTCCACCAAGTTACACTGGAAGACACCTTTGGTGAAAAAGCTTATAGGCTGTAGAGGATGAGAGAGAGAGAGAGATTTTATTTCCTGGCAGTGTGCGTTGTTTTATTTTTTTCTGAGGGAAGGAAGAGTGAATAATCCTAGCACAGGACACCAGCAGTGCGGGAGGAGGGGACCCATCCAAGGTGCATGGGAGATCCTAGACCGGATAGCTTGTTGTTGTTTTAAAAATAAAAATAAAAATGTGAGCGCCGTTTGAATTGATAAGCTAACCACAAAAGCAAAACCTCTGCAGTGAAATATAAGCTAAAACTAAGTTTAAAAATAGACGTAGGCGCACTCTTCCAAAAATAAAAACGGGAGAAAGGGGACACAGTGTTCAGAAATGGCAAGGCAACTCTCTGCTGCAACCAGAACGCAAGGCAAATATGGCCTTTGTCCGGCCATCCAAGTTTTGAGATGAAGAGGATAGAACAAAAAAAGTCCTTAATTCAGATTGCCCCTGCTCTCAGCCAGGCAGGCTTTCTTACAACTTAACTGGCCATCTTGGAAAGGAGAGAGTAGTCATAGGATAAGAAAAATAACAAATAAAATTATATCCATCTAGAATAGTGTTTCCTGACCATCCCAGGCCCTTTTTAAAGGTCATTTCTCACTCCAAAATGAAGGAAAGTACCACTGTGTATATACTTGGTTTCTAAGGCGAGCTGTACAAGGGTGTGGAACCAACTTTGTTATTTTAGAAAGTGCAGGCTGGTCCATGGCGGCTGGCCTGCCACTCTTCCCCCCGGAAGCACCCTAGGAAGTTGCATAGCAACCTTCCTACAGAAAGGGGGCGGGGCTCTGTTTGTTCCGCCTCTTTTGCACACGGCCATGTCGAAGGCAGCACTTGCTATTAAATCATGTTGTGTGGAAGGGGTGGGGAGAGAGAGGACAGGCCAAGGCGATTGTAGCTCCTAAGCGTGTCCAAGAAGTGGAACCAGACACACAAGAAATCTAGGAAAGTTGAGGCGCCCCTTGGGCAGGGTTCACTAAAAAACGTTGGATTCCCCATCACTCTCCTCCCAACTCCAGTTTAGCACCGGAGTCTCATTGACTGCAATGGGTTGTTCATTTCCTTGTGTGCTTTTTTTTTTTAACGGAGGATTTTATTCCTTTGTGTGTTTTCTAATGGGATTATTTTCATGTGGGGGTTGGGAACGAAGTGTGTGGTTGTTTCCCCACCCCGTTTCACCAGAGGGTCCCATGTGCCTGCCTGCCTTTTCACATTTTTATGGTTTTAATGATGTTCGCCAGAGCATCCCTTCATTTGTTTAGCATCGAACGCATATTGGGCATGTGAACAGCCATCACATCCTCCAGTCAAGCCAGCATTGTGCCCTGCTTTCCTGCAGAAAAAAAAGCAATTGAGGTTTGCTTGTGTTTTGGTTTTTTTAAACACACACACACACACACACACACACACACACACACACACATTACATGAAGTTGCAAAGTATGCGGAAGGATGGAATTCTTTTGCATCTGTTCTCATTAATATATATCTATTTTCAAATGGTGAATATAAATGATAATGTAACAAAATAAAGACCACATAACAGAGTAGCTTTGCAAGGCTGTATCCTGCAAAGGAAAGAAGACAGGTTTTTTTTAATTTTTACTTTGGGAAATGTCCCTGGTTTCTTTACTATAAGCCTGATCTTGTTAATTTCGGCCTAGTTCTCATTGAGGTCACCAGCTCGTTGTTTGGAAAGTAGTACCACTTCAGACTTAACAACCGGTTTTTAACAACAGTTTTCCGGCAGAGGGTGGGTGGCCACAAATCAGGGATGTTGGTGGTGTTTGGAATTGATCAGGTGGTTTGGATTCAGCGACGTCTGGAGCACTCTTCCAATGCTTGTAAGGAGCTGGAGGCTCATTTGATTGAAAACTCTTCTATGCAATGGACATTCCTTGCCCGCAGAAAGCCAGCAAGTTGGGGAAAACCCTGCCATGCTATGTTTCTATATGCAGGGGTTTCTATTCATTTGTGATTAGGAGAACTCCACCCTAGATTTGGCATTGCTCTTAGGTTCTCAGGTGGTAGCGTCAAGCAGAAGTAATTTTCCTCTGCTCTTCCTGGTGTGCCAGCACCACCCGTTCTTGGAAAAGGTGGAATCTGGCCATGGTTACACCTGTGTTTGGCATAGCAAGGCTGGAGTACTGTTCCACGCTGCCTGTGGGGCTGTCCTTGGAGTGTGATCAAAAGGTGTCGGTGGTTCAAAACACAGCAGCTGTGGAAGCCAGTTTGAGGGGTCATTTTCTTTTGTTCTTGTACCAGCTTGAAGCTTCTGGAGAACCATTGGCAGTGAAAAAAGATAATCCCAGGTTGGATGGGGGAAAGTATTAAGCATTTTCCTGTGTTAGAATCTGGGCACAATCCATTATGCTGCTTATTACATCTAAAGTCCAATTAGGCTGAGGGCAGGGTGGCTGCAGGGGGCCAGATCTTTATGTCCCCATTCCTGTGAGTCAACCCACCTGTCAGTCACCAGACCTCAGATGATTGGCAGGAGGGTTTATCCCACTCATCACAAAATTTCCATTGACACCACTGCTAAAATGAAGCTTTCCCTCTCCTCCGTTTTAGCAGAAATTTCAATAGAAGCTACTTGGTACTATTGGAGCAAGGTTCGTTCCCCTCGCCTGTCAGCTTATGGGCTGTGGGAGCGTAGCTTGCTCCACAAAGGGAGCAATCGGGAGCTCATTTCAAGCTCCCAGTTGCTCCTGTGTAGTCATGTAACTTGTCAGCTGTCCGCCAAGCAGCCATGATTCATGAGGAACAGTCTCGCAGGCAAAATTGGGAACACTGCCAGGTCAAATCTGACCTGTGGGCCAGAAGTTCCCAATCTCTGGCTTAGGACCAAGACCATCTTAAGGCAAGGGTAGCTAAACATCAGGGATGATGGTATTGTTATGGTCCAACATCATCCGTAGGGCCCCACGTTCATTACCCCTTTCTTAGGAAGCGAAGGCCCTTAAACCTTACCTGAGCTCATTTTCCAAGGTTTGGATGATGGGACCAAAGGAAAGGGCCTTCTCCGTGGTAGCACCCAGACGACTGAGTCTTCTCCTCAAGTTTCGCCCCATCCATTCACTCAAGCTCTCCTGCTATCAGGTGGAGAGACTTTTTTTTATTTAGGAAAGCATTGGACTTTTAAGTTTTGATCTCTCTCAGTGTTCCTGCTCTGTTGTTTTGTGGGGGGTGAAAAATTGATGCTGTTCTTGCTGTTGTATTCATGATTTGATTGTATTGTTTTAACGCCTCTTTTCTGTATCGTCATTGTTGTTTAAGATCATGTCAGCCACCTCGAGCTGCTCCAGTTGGAAGCGAAGGGCGAGGCATAAAGCCCCAAAATAAAGACATGAATTAAGATGTTCTACCTGCAGTCTGAAATAGTACCTTCACCTCAATGAGAACTAGGCCTTAAATTTCCATGAGTAGCCTCATTGACCCTGGCTGGTCTATTTAGTAGCAAAAGGGGTACAAGATCAGGATTTTTGTGATACACACTTATATAGTCTAAAAGAAAGTATATATTGCCATTCTTGCCATGATTATCTTACCAAGTCCCGTCCCCCCATCCCCCGGACTAGGTAATAGCAATAACATTTTTGTTGTGCACAAACAGTTGCTTTATGTGCTCTCAACAGAAAAGAACCACATACGGTGAATGCATTCAGAAAATGTATAAATATTAGTGTTGCATTTTATTGAGATTTGAACAGGTTGGGTCTCATTTTATCACTATATAAAATCTTAGCTGGTGCTTTCATGTGTGGGTTTTATTTTAAGGGAAATGGAAAAAGTGCAGTTTGAAAAATGGACTTTTCTTAAACTTCTATTATTAAAAAAACACACACATAAGATGCACATGGCATAAATGGCAAAACAATTTTCTTTTTCCCAGCTGAGTGTTGATATATTTTTGGAAGCGATTGGGTTGGTGATGTTTCTTTTTTTAATTATATGGGGGTGGGGGGCTGACGTTAAAGAAAAAAAAATACTTTCAAGGAGTGTAATTTAAGATGTTCAATGTTTGTTTGTTTGTTTTTTAGACAAGAAGGGATTTAGCAATCCTGCTTCCCCTTAAGTCAATGGCAGTTTGGGATCTTAAAGACAGGGCTGGATCCTGCAAACACAGGACTTCCCTTAACCACTCATGTCAACCCGAGCCTTGCTTCATAGTGGTGGGAGGTGTGCAGATTAAACCTTAATAAAATAAAATAAATAAAATAAGGGATTGGTTCATTTTCCCAGCAAGTTAGTTTTGGAATGAATTTATATTTTTGTCAGTCTGTAACTTGTGATGTCAGATTCTGCCACCCCCCCCCAAAAAAATACCACTTGTTGATTTTTTAAAAAGGGGCACTTTTATGTTAAGTTATATTTTTGTTAATGTAACGAAGTTGTTTATACTTTTGCCTTTTGAGGAAAGTGATTACGAATGTAAAGCATCTGTAACTCCACAACAGTAAGCACAACTACTTTGGGCGGGGTGGGATTTGGTTTCACTGCAACTCACTCTAGGAAGCGTAAAAGCTACTATGTTCTCCATTTTGCCAATCAATAATGCCACTCAAATGGGGTGGGAGGAATATATGTGTATATATATTTTAGGATGCAACCCTATGCACACTTTCCTGAGAGTAAACCCCATTGAATACCATGAAACCTACGTTTGAGTAGTTATGGCAGAATTGTGTTCTATAAGGCACCTTAGACTGTTGTCAACATGCAGGTTTTTGAGATGAGCTAGGTGGCACCCCCATAAACTGGAAGAAAAATGCAATCCATTAAGCAACTACACCAGGGGTCACTATCCTTTTTTGAACCAGGGGTCACATTTTGCATTTTGAGAGATTGCTGGGGGGTGCCTTTCACAAACGGACTGCCAACGGGGTGTGTGTGACATAACACAACATGGTTGTCGTGAAAGGCATGGCGTCACACAGAATTAGAGAGTACAATCAGGGCGAAGCTTTTCCCGTGGCTGTATTTCCATGGGAGAAGAGGCTTGTTCTGTTGAATTTCTTCCTGGAAAACAAGGAAGAAGCAGGGAAAGTGCATTAAAGAGGAGAGGGAAGGAGCAGCTCTTTAGGACCGCAGGGATTCCAACTGCCTGGTGTCCAAGTGGCTCTCACTTCGCCCATTGGCTAAGAACACTGGCAGGTGAGAGGAGCCAGGCTGGCTCATTTCACAGAAATGATTGAGAGCTGGTGAACCTTGCACTGCACTGTGCAAAGGATTGCATCCTCCAGTTGCAAACAGCCTGCACCTATTTGAAGACTAGCAAAACTGTACCCATTGGCTTCGGTTGAGCAGCTCTGGTGGGTGAATACGTAGAATTTGGGGCATGTGCCCCATCCAGAGCCCCATGAAATTTTGGGGTTGAAGCCATTGACTTGGAGTGGCTCTGGTGAGTGCACACGTTAGCCCTGAGCTGTAGATGAATGCTGGTGGCCAACCTGAGTGCACCACCCAGATTAAGGGCTCTTCTGCTATACACCAGCCCTTTTTATACCCTGTGCAAGGAAGATCCAGAGGTTGGTAGTTAGTTTCCACTCCAGCATCTCTTTTCAAGATGGAGAAGGTTTCAAGGGGCACAGATGCCCTTGTCAAAGGATCCTGTGTCTTGCAGGATGCAGTCCTAGATAAACAAGGTGTGTTAAAATTCTAGCTTTAACTGCTAGGCAATGGCATCGTTCTTGGCTTAACTCTGCTTGAGGCTTCTGTTCTAACCAAAGGCAGTACAACTGGAAGCACATGTAGCTTTTATTTAAAAGAGAACAGATTGGACTATTCTTGCCACTTTACCAGATTACACAGCAGGTGCTTTTATTAACTGATGAGAGCCAAGTCTCATTTTTTTTGATAATATATATATTTATTAAATGTATTAATGTGCATTTTTTATAATGTCCCCTTTTCCCACTCTGCTGACCGTTGCATACTGTTTAATCTTGTACATCTTTGGAAAGGTTTTCAAGACAATCAAATGTGTACCATAATGACTGTACATAAAGATACGAAATTTAAAACGAAAACAAAACAAAAAAAGTTGTAAAGCATGGGCAAAGACATTTTATTTTCAAAATGCTGTTCTTAACAAATCAAAACAAAAATAAAGGCTTTACTATTTACTTACAATGTGGTGGTCATTTTGGTTTTGTCCTTCGAAAACGTGAAGGGTTGACATTTTTGTAACGTTCAAAGAGGCAGCGTCCCGTTCCATTGGCACAGGTGTTAATGGGGTTCTGGCTAGATCTCTTGAGGGGCTTCCAATGACTTCTCAGCTGGTCATGCCATTCGAACAGGGTGGTAGCGCCACAGCAGCAACAGCCAACATGGTGCCTTCTGCATATTGTGGATTACAACTCCCTTCAGTGTGATCAGGGGTGATGGGAGTTGTAGTCCAACGCCTGGGACAATGGCAGCCTCTTAATGAGGCAGTTTGGGGAGGGAACGCTTCCTTGGATTGCTCGCATAATTTTATTGATTAACTACGGAGAAATAATTATTAAAAGCTGGAGTGATATTCCTCCCTGCATCCAGCATTAAGTTGCCAGGATGGGGATGATTCTGACTTGGGGTGGAAAGCCTGTGAGCCCCTCCAGCTGCTGTACTGCAATCCCATCCTTCTGGACCATTGGCTGTGCTAACTGGGCTATGGTACATCCAACATCCCCATCCTCTAGTATGGTCTCCTGTCTCCAATCACAAGTGGGGATAGAAGCAACCACTCTGATCTAGCTGGGTTTCTCCCCTTACATAAACACTGATGTGTTTGGATGGCACATGAGCCACCTCGTGACTGTTTATGCCACTACCTCAATCGGAACATCAGCCAGTGCCTGCATCTCCCTGGTCCGCCTGATTTACAGCCTTCATTCAAACCAGAATACTTAGAATGAACCAATCTTCAATCACACTGAAGTTGATGGGACCAAGATCAGGTTAGATTAAAGGACTGTGGCATTGAAGTCGGCTGTAAATCAGGCTGTCTTACACAGTGTTCTTCTTTGAAAAGTGCTGGAGGGATTTTAGCCCCCAGGCTGACCCCAAACACCATTTGGTTACAGTGGAAGACACTTCACTGAGCCCTGCTCCCTTAATCAGCAGCTGATGGTGACGATTTGGGGCTTTTAAATTAGTATGAAAAGTAGTATCACTGCAGAGCTAAACCACGCGTGGATGCCCAGCTGATCTGCACCATTTGTGGATTCTCATCTGTCAAGACTGGAAGGGTTTGATTTTCTTCCTCTTTCTCTGTGACCGTGGTGACTTCTGGCTCTGGCAAGATTTCCACCACTGCCTGTTTTGACCGAACTGGACTGGGCTGTACTGAGTCTTCCAGCTTGGTTCCCACTGCAAGCAAAAGGATTTTTTAAAATGCAGAACTTTGTCTCAAACTCCAGACTGGTTAATAGATGTGTCGACAGAGTGTCAAGACTAGGGCCCAGCAGATCTGCCTTCAGATTCCCCACAAAAGTTGCTATGTACACATATTTAAAGCACTCCGTGTTTGTGGTAGAGCACTGGCAGATCAGTGGCTCCCCCAAAGAAGCTCAACAACTTGGCACCCCTAAGAAAAGGTCAACAACATTGACCTGAACCCCCCCTAGATCACAGTGTCTTGGAATTTGGCCACCCCTGCCCTAAAGAATCCCGGAAACTGTAGGTTACCTCTCACATTATTTACGGAGGAAGGAAATAAACGTCACAGCAACATTTATATTAAGGACTTGTGTGGTCTATTATTTTAGGGGACAAGAGAAGCATCAATAAAAACCATTTCTTGTGCATTGCAACTCTAAACAAAAAAATAAATAAATGTTAATTTATGTGATTCAAGAGCAGTGCACCAGCTGGGCAGCTCCATCAGACAAAAGGGCCACAGTTGGTCTTGCCTGCCAGAGTCAACAATGGTAAATGAACAAAAGCCCTGTATCATAATTGCAAATCAGAAGCCCAGCCTCCTACTCGCATTTGCATGGCCTGGGAGGGTTGCGGTGGAAAATACTAGAAGCCTAGGCCGAAGAATGGGCTGGTTCATTCAAGCCGATGTGTGAAATACCTCCCTTTTCAATAATGCCGCCTACTTCGTCCTGTCCCTGGTCTAGCAATCCTGTCTCCCTTCCCACCCAGGCTTTAGCATCTAAACTAGGGATGAACCAGCTTCCACCCAAGGTCCACATTTCCATCAGAGTAACTTTCTGAGGGCCGCATGTCAGCAGTAGGCAGGGCGAGGGGAAAAGTGGGCAGAGCAACGGATGTCTTTCCACACCCACCTGCGTGCCTCTCTGCATCCTCCATCGAGACAAACGAGGCATTATGGGAGTTCAAGGGCAGGGTCCAGCCAGCCAAAAACACTCAAGAGTGCAAAACAGGGCCAGTGAAGGGTATGGCCTTGGCAGGGAAGTCCTGAGGGCCTGATCCAGAGGCCTGGAGGGCAGTGTTAGAAACTCAGTATAATCTAATCGCCAAATGGCACCTTAAACCTGGGCTATGGTGGCCACAACAGTGTGTCTAGGCACCATCCCCCCGCCTGTGGGCTTTATTATTATTGTTATTATTCATTTCATTTCTATACCAATTTCTATTTTAGAGGAAAAATCTCAAACTGGTTAACAACACATTAAAACATCAAATAAAACAATCCAGAATAAAACAAATCCAAGCTTCAATGAAAAAACTTCAGATCCTTCGCTAAGTGACATTTGCTTTCCCCATATTTATTTACCTACTTAATTTATATAGCTGCCCTATAGCAGAAGAGCTCTAAGAAGCCAGGGTGGTGTAGTGGCTAGAGTGTCAAACTAGGACCTGGGAGATCAGGGTTCAAAGCCCCACTCAGTCATGAATCTCACTGGGTGACCTTGGACCAGTCGCAGCCTCGTAACCTACCTCACGGTGTCGCCATAGGGATTAACTGTGGAGTGGGGTGAACCATGCACATGGGATATAAATGCAATGAATAAGCTCTTCTGCTTACCTGCTTAAGAAAGCTTGAGGGGCCAGCCAGGTGGAGATATCAGTCGCCAACCAGGCATCCAGAGATCTCCACATGGTCACAGTTGGGCCCACGCCAGCAGGACTCCCTGCTACACGTCCACATCTGTAAGTGTGTGTGTACATGTGCGGTGCAACCCTCCAGCAGTGTTGAAACATGACCATTTTAAGGAACATCGAGGCTAAAATACAGGCTGTCAACCTCAACATCCCTTTTAAAGCAGGTCCTAAATGCAAGTGCTGCTTGCAATAGTCATGTTTTATATCAGGGGGACCTCCAGATGCTATTGGACTCCAACTCCCATCAGCCTCAGCCAGGATGGAAAAGGGTAGGATATAAATGCAAGCAATCTATGCAGGTTTGCTCAGAAATTAGTAGTAACTGGGGGGATTCCATTCCCCCTTCTCCATTCCCTGTCTCACAACACGCAGTCTACTTTGGGGTTTCCCACACACCCACTCAAACTTAGGGGTTCTTCCCCCAATATATTTGTTGTACTTTTGCAAACCTTAGGGTTCCCTGTAGACACCTCCCTCTTGCGCATGGGGTGTTGTTGTTTTGGCTATATAAAAGGAATGGCATTCGCAGCCTGAACGTTGGAAATAGAAGGAACTCCCAGGTCAGTGTCTACGATTGCAGCTTGAATCAAAACAATCAGTGCAAGACAACAATATCATGGGCAAGTCAAGGTTTACTTCAACACTACCTCAACTTTTAGAAAAAGCCAAGGAAGAGGGTGAGGGATGGGAGAACTTACCTAATGCAAACATTTGAAACAAATAGTGAATGGGAATTTGCACAGCCAGCAGTAGAACAACCTTGCAAAGGAACAAAACTTCCTTTTTAGAAAGGCAACTGAGCACAGGGGCTCAGGGTAAAAGAGATATAGAATCCGACAGTCGCTCCAGCTGATTAATGAAATGCCCAAAACAGCATCAGCATGAAACAGGAGCTGCTGCCTGTCTAGATGGAACAAGAGAGTCTGGTCTGAAAAGTCACCCAGATTCCTTTAGCTATGCAATGCTGCTGCTGGAAAAGTCTCCACAGTCTGCATTGATAATGTTCATTCAATTCATGTGATATTGGGGAAACTATTGATGCCCCCCACCCCGCCCCAGGATGGGTGAATCTGTCCATTTCTGTTTCTTTCTGTTTCTCATTTTTCCAGTCTTAAATTCAGTTCTCCAGCTTTCCACGTTAGTTTGCTTTTTTTAAGTCCCCATGAAAATTCATCAATGTCTTACTGCATATTTATCCTAACAGATATGGGCAATTCTGACTAAGAAACGTTTTGTTTTTTTTGCTGTATATCCTCACACACAAAAGTTCAAACAAATGCAAGCAATAGGAGCAGGTTTGTCACTGCTCTATGCAGAGAACAAATGAATCCAGAATTCAATCAAATAGATAAGATCCAATCATAAGGAATCTCTTTTTTAAACCATCCCCAGATGAGCAGCTGAAATGAGAACAGGCCCTAAGAGCCCTATGTAATGATAAGGGAGTAACTAAACCTTAATTATAAAGCCAAGATGTTCCCCAAAAGTATTCAGAAATCTCAGAAGCATGTGTCTCTGCACAGGAAGCATCCAATAGCAAGGGAATGACTAGCAATGCTTTCTGGAAACTCATACATTGACTGGCAATGGTATACCCTTGGCTGACTGAACAATAATCTCTGGAATGAGAACAGGCAGTGTGCAGTGGCTCACTCTAGACATCACGCCAAATCATGGTTAAAGAAGCTTAACTGTGTTTTGGCACAATCAAGAGAACAACATACTTGGGTAAAGCAAACCAAAATCAGAAACCAGTGCTTTGAAGGGTTTCAAGGGTCCGTTCTAACTGCAGTAGGATGCAATGTCTGAACTGATATACCATTGTTTACAACCTTTGGTAGGCTAGAGTGGGGAGCCTTGGCCAGACAGAAATGAAAACCAGACAACTGGGTCTAAACAATTGTTTCCATGATGGTCTGAATGCTCATGATTTGAGTTCTAAAACAACAGTTAGCACAATGTACAGTCTAGTGCAAAATCTAGGCGAAGTCATGGATGAAAATGGTTGTTCCAAGAGGGAGCTAGGGATGCTCATATAGCATCTTAGAATGGGAGTGCTCTTCGGGCAGATTATGA